AACATTGTTGTTAAATATCTTTAATAAAAAGCTGGAGTAATTTTTATGTGAAAAGATAAGAACCAGTGAGTATCCATAGCTCCATGTTCATTCCATTTTTTTACTTCATATTTGCAAAACATTTTTAAAATTATGTTGCATTTTAAGGAGTGCTATTTCTGGCTTCTTGTCTCGGAATTATTTTTGGGAGGAGTATACTTATGCAAAAGTGTAAAATGGATTCGATTCAGAGTTGAGAGCTTATCTCTGCAAATAAGTTGTTTATTAACGGAGCCAAACATAACCTTTCAAAAGAATAAATCTCATATTCATATTGGTAGGACAAACTTACTTCTTAAGCTACTAACTTTATTGGTTAAATTAAGCAACCTCCTGCAAAAACAAATGCTTTTTTTTAAGCTTTGGAGATGTGTTTTTATTTTTATTTTTTTAGTATATGAAGCCATAAGCTTTATATAAAACAACGACATCACCAAACTCTTCTGTTAGGCTGCTCCATCTATCTGTCTGTGTAAAAACGGTTTTGAAATTTCTACTCTTTTGAGTTTTGTTTTGAATTTAAACTTTGGTGATGCCCACTCTTTTTCTTCATGGGACAAAATTATCCACCTAGCCTGGTTATTATCATGCTGCTTTTCATATTTCTGTCATCTTGTGGTTTCTGTTCGCTTTGATGTATTAAGATACCTGGGAAGTGAAACAATGATGTGGACAATTAAAAGATAGTCGAGCAAAAGATTCCATTTCTGGTTTTATATTTCCATAACTGAGCCCATCTGATTAATAGCCTGGCACAATAGCTTTTACATCAGGGGTGTTCAGCCTTGGCAGCTGTAAGACTCGTGGACTTCAGCTCCCAGAATTCCCCAAGCAGGTGTGCTGGCTGGGGAATTCTGGGAGTTGAAGTCCACAGGCCTTAAAAGTGACCAAGGTTTTTATGTCCCTGCTTTGCATTGTAGCCCGAAAACAATACACACCGCAAAGTCAAGGAATGGAGGCTTCTGATTACAGCCTGAAAATGCCATAGTTGTCTCTATTGCTAAAGAAGACCTCCTCGGGAATCTTGGCAGCCCTTCCAGGTGCCCCATTTTTCCTGGGTTTGGCAGTTGGATATTGGACACATCCACGCAGCAAAAAGCAGCTGTTACCCCCCCCCCAAAAAAACCCCCAATCATTGCTTCAGTTCTCCTTTGTTAAATCTTGCATGCTCTCCTGTGCGATGTAACCTGGCTGTTTTGAAGAAGCTGCGCATTCCGGCGCCTTTTTTCTAACATCCCTGTTTTCGTGCTGTTGTTTACAGTGGACTAAAGAGGAGGGTCACCGGACTGCCTCATCTGCTCCCCCAAACCTCTTTGTTCCCTTGAACACGAACCCCAAGGAGGTCCAGGAAATGCGGAACAAGGTTCGTACCGGCCAGGAAATGGGTCTGCCTGCTGGGTTAGTCTGCTCCTGGATCTTGACGTGTGGGGAGATGCCTCGTCTGGCTCACGGCCCTTCGGGGACCCCTCTGGACAAAGGATGGGGACAGAAAGGTCAGGCTGCAGCCGGGCTGCGTAGGACTGACTGGCACTGGGCACGTGTGCCCAGGAACGTCCCAGGCCAAGGGTGCCATTGGGGATTGTACAGCTAGTCCTTGACTTACAACAGTTCATTTAGTGCCCGCTCGAAGTTACACCAGGCCCTGGGAAAAGTGGCATATTGCCATTATTCACCCTTAACGACCGTTGGAGCCTCCCTGTGATCGTGTGACCAAAATCAAAGGGTCACGTGATCCCCTTTTGCGACCTGACCAGCCGAGTCAATAGGGGGAGGGGCAGCCAGATCCACTTAACAGCCAGGACACTAAATGATCAACTGCAGTGATGTTAAGTGTGTTCAGTTGTTCATTTGTTCCATCAACCTATCCCTGCCCTCTCCGGGCACCTGAGAAACAAGCCCCCCCCCCATTCAGGCTAAGCCCCTTTGGAATGAAACAAAAGTCAGGATCCAACAGCACAGGATCCAAGATCCTCTGCATTCTTTTAACAAGAATTAAGAGGGGTTGAAACGGATCTGTAGCTTCACCAGCTCAGAACAAGCCTGACCTGCAACTAGCTACGTGTAGAGCTCAGCTCGTTGGGTTGACCTGCCTGTGGCTGACTTGATGCTTGGTGTCTTTTTTTCTTTTTTCTTTTCCCCTTTCCTTTGACAGATCAGGGAGCAGAACTTGCAAGACATTAAAACGGCCGGTCCACAGTCTCAAGTCCTTTCCGGGGTTGTCATGGACAGGAGCCTCGTGCAGGTGAGAAAACAGCTTCCGCTGGCACTCTGCATGAACGCGTGGCCTCTCCCTGCTGCCACCTCATGTAGCCCCGTGCCACTTAACTTTAATTGACAGAGAGTAACTGTTTATCAGGTAAGTAGTGGGAGGCCAGTCTCTAGGGGCGTGCTGGTCGCAAGGCACCAGGTAGGCTGTGTGGCGTTCCTGCATTCACAATGACCTGCAGGGGACACCTTCGCCGAAATGGGTGTGCCTGTTAGGTTCAGCGGGGTAGTAAAAAGGCCCGTTACCTTCTCAAAAACAATCCAACAAACCTTGAATAAGCCCACACTACCTTATTTCCTCCAAAATAAGACCTAATTAGAAAATAAGCCCTAGCATGATTTTTCAGGACGCTCGTGATATAAAGCCTCACCCCAAAAAACAAGCCCCAGTTAAGATCGTCAGCCAGACAGATGCATTTAGCACTGTATTTAGTACTGTAACCGGAAAAATAAGCTCTAATGCATCTTTTGGAGCAAAAAATAATATAAGACCCGGTCTTATTTTGGAGGGAAATACAGTAAGATGCAGGTTATTTCCAATGTACTTTCCTAGCTGCTTGATGTCACGGCCAGGATATCGCTAAAGCAGAATTTAACGTTGCTCTGCATGCTGTTTTATTGCTGCTGCTGCTGCTGTTGGTGTCTCGACACTCTAAATGTGCTTCTGCATGTTGTTTTTAAGGCCATGTCCTGATGCTTTTAGCCGATAATCTAAGCCGGGGCTTGGTTTGCCTTGTCTACTCAATTTCCTATTTCAGGATGCTCCCCTGTCAGACTGTACGGAAACAATTGAAGGGCTCCACCCCACAGAGCAGGCCTTTAGCCCAGCTAAATCTGTCTCTGTTAGAAAGGTACTGACTTGCGCTGTCCTTCCGCTCTCAATGCTCTTTCGCTTTTAATCTCCTTTTTCTAACCCTGGTTTATCATTTCTCCCGCTCGGTGGCACAAAGGGGGAGCTACACGTTGGGCGGGTGTTTTCGATGTCAAGTAAGATCTCTGAAGGCCGATCAGATTCTTTTGAGTAATTTCCTTTGAAACATGGCTGACCTCGGCTGTAATTCCGCCCCTTCCCCAAAGAGCCACGGATTTAACCAGGGATCGCCCTGCTTCGTATCCAGAAGAAGCAGAATTGTGTGTTAATGGGCCATTTGCAGTTACCCGAAGTATTTTACTACCTGTCATACCAACCCATCTTTCCACGCACAGACAGAGAGAAAGAGAAAGGCTGCCATTATCAATGGTGCAGCCGCAGGAGGCGAGAAAGGCTGCACTTTGGGGTTTTGTTACCGGTGGGTAATAGAATCTGGGGAGGGGGTGTGTGTCTGAAGAGCCTGATCCTGCAGAGTTTCACACAGCCCCGAACTGTACCTTGTGCACCTTCGCTCTCCAAAATCCAGTGACTTGCAAAAGTCCTCGGGAGATCAACCTCTTGGTCATCTCCCCGAAGATTCTGAATCGATCCTTTAGAATTAGTGCAGTCTTTTCCCCAAAATTCAAACTGCGTATGGGGTGAAATTGTCAAAATTGAATAGCCCTCCCTCAACAGAGGGGGAGGGATACGACATCCTCTATCTATCTCCAGTCTACCACACGGTCCTTTCAGCAGTTCCAAGAAGGCCCCACACCCATCTGCACCACTCAGGCGACCCTGAGGACACAGACAAACCTCCAAGAGGCCTCAACGACCCTCTAAAAGGAGGCAAATGACCAGCTCTTTGCAAGGAGTATAAATCCTTCCGTTCCCCACCATCCGGTCAGAGCTGAAGAAGCTTCTGGAATGAGAAGCGAAACGTCCTCAAAGAAAAATGAGAAAGTCCAGTTTCCTCCTGAAAAAAAGCATCTTTGCAACAAGTGCTCTGAAAGGTACAAGTAGGACCGTAGCAGCAGATGAAGAAAACAAGATCAGTGTTTGGGGACAATCTGTCACCCAGTCCTAAACTACAACATTCTTCTGGCAGCTTTGCTATAAAACCCGCTCAAAGGTCCCTGAGTTGAGTTTCTGCACCGTGTGAAGATAACATACAGTTTCTTGCAAATTTCACAAAACACTTGGCTGTCGTTCTTGCAACGAAAGGTGGCGCAACCAGTTCCTGAGCCAAAGGGGACAATCAGTTGCTCAGATTGGCACGTTGCATTTTGTGGGTGGCTTTTAAAGAAGTAGACGAAACAAAACACTTGAGCTTTGGAATTGCTAATTCAAATTCCCACGATGTTAGCGCTCGGACGTGGGTGAATTTCTGTCGACATTCCGTGGCAAAGTTACCCAGACTTGATCATCTGGTCATAGAGCCTCTGATGGATTTAGGGATGCTTCTCTAGAGGGGGTGTTGCCTCCCCAGATCTTGGCAGAACGTCCACACAAATCTTGGTTCCTTGGGCTTTTGACAGTGGGGAGGTGATTTATGCGCTTTTTCCTTCTGCCTTTGCTCTTGGGCCTCATCGCCTCATTCATCACCTTGCACCTCCTCCTTTCTCTTGCTTCTCTTTTGCTCGCTTTCCACACCTTAGCCCTTCAGAGAAAACTTGGTTTGGAGCCAGGCTTGGCCAGGCCTTTGTGATTGTGGTTAGTGTGCTCAGCTCTCCCCAACCTGCCTATGTCCCCCAATATAAAATGGCTTAGGTGTAATTATCCCTTTCACTCGGATTGAAATTGAAACCCCAACGTTCCCTCACCAAACAGCCTTGTATACGTATTATACATGATGATACTGCCAGACTCTGGCCAGTGTCCAAGAACACCTTAGGAATTGTCATTGGGTGTTTTTGAGAACAAGGTCTGCCGTTCTCAGGAGATAAGCAGGAGAATATTATGAGAGAGACCCGTATAAGATTCCAATAGGAGAACCGTGATTCTGAAAAGCATCCAGTGGAGTGGTGTGATTCCTCACCAGCCAGTGGATTCGGCAGCTGAGTCTGAGGAATCAGAGGAGGAGGAGGGGTCTGGAGGACTGTAAGCTCCAAGACTTACAGTTGGACGAGGAGCCTGGCCCCTCTACTCGCACTCAGGCTGAGACCCAGCTGTGCTGGGAGTCTGAGTTGGACAGTGCTGAAGAACAGCTGGGACAAATCCAGGATACATGAAAGCGCTGGCAAGAAAAGAGAGTAGGGCAGAGGAATGCAATGGGGCGGCTCCAAAGGCAAAGGAGAAGGCATTAGGAAGCCACGCCTTGGCTGCATAATAAAAGGGAAGGTGTGGGAGGTGCTGGTTGCCAAAGGCAACTGGTCGTGTTGAGGATCGAGTTTCTGTGAACTGTGTTTTGTTTGCCTTGGACATTGACTCAGGTCTGTGAATAATAAAAGGGGATTGGTTTTTTCCTGCGGTTCCAGCCTGCTTGTTTGGAAGAGGGGTTTCTCCTTGTGAGCATAACAAGGACTCACGTAGGCTGGGACAGAGCACGGGGAATGTTACTTCATATAAGTAATGGCATGCAGGAGAGATTATAGGAAACTAGCTGTACAATAAAGTAGAATTGGTTTATCTGCTCTGGTTTCCAAACTAGTTAAAGTTGACATCATTGAGAACTTCAGGAGGGTCCCTTCTGAGCTTCTTCCTCCCATCTACCATGCAGCTGTGGGCTCTGCTCTCTCTTATCTGGCTGGTGCCTGGGCAGTAGTTCTTTGCCCTGTTTCCCAAGATCCTCCCAACATTCCTTTACAATATATTTAGAACACGGTATACAAACTGCACGGGAGTTGTTAAGTTAAGGGGTGCAAATTTAAATTTTCAATTTGACTTTTTCCATTGCAAAAATTGGATGGGACGGAATAATATGCCCAGACCTTTACAGAGCTTGAGTTTAGACATACCTCTTTCTCTCTCTTTCCACCTAACAATTTTGAATTAGTTGGGGCAACCGCAGTGGCCGCCGGAAACGTTCTTACCCCACTTCGGTTGGCCAGCCAGCCAGCAAAAGCACTCGTGCATTTACTTAGTCAGTTGATTCGTTGATTTGTTTACAATATTTATGGGGCGGTTTAATCAGAAAGCTATTTACTGGTTTGTAACAATTTAACCGTACTTGGGTTTGTTGGTTTGTTTTTTAAATTCTAAAAATTGCCCGTGTTAGATTCATAGTGCAAAGTCAGCAGGGCAGCCTCCCTACTCCGTACGAAATTAAACTTTTCAGGGATGTGGCTTCATTAGAATGAGCGTTTCCCGTTTCCCCCAGCGCCTCCAATAATCTATGGAGATTCTCCCTCATCCAGGTCAGGGTTGTCCCAAAGGTGCTTTTTTCAAGAGGCAACTGGACTTCCTTTGTTTTTCCTTTGAAGACGTTTCGCTTCTCATCCCAGAAGCTTCTTCAGCTCTGACTGGATGGTGGGGGGAATGGAAGCATTTATATTCCTTGCAGACAGCTGGTCATTTGCCTCCTTTTAGAGAGTCGTTGAGGCCACCTGGAGGTTTACCTGTGTCTTCATCTCCAACAGCCTGTGCCATTCTTCCACAGTGAAAGGGACACAAGGCAGAAAACATCCTGCAGCCACACCCATTTGCACCACTCAGGTGACCCTGAGGACACAGGTGAACCTCCCAGTGGCCTCAACGACTCTCTAAAAGGAGGCAAATGACCGGCTGTCTACAAGGAGTATAAATCCTTCCATTCCCCACCCTCCAAGTGGCCTCAATGACCCTCTAAAAGAAGGCAAATGACCAGCTGTCTGCAAGGAGCATAAATCCTTCCATTTCCCCACCCTCCAGTCAGAGCTAAAGAAGCTTCTGGGATGAGAAGCGAAAGGTCTTCAAAGAAAAAACAAAGAAAGTCCCGTTGCCTCCTGAAAAAAAAAAAAAAAAAACACCGTTGGGACACCCGGTGCCTCCAGTGTCTGGTGTCCCAGATGGTGAGAGAACTTTCTCTTCTTCTGATCAGGGGGAGCTGGTGACCGCCTCCAAGGCCATCATTGAGAAGGAATACCAGCCCCACGTCATCATCAGCACGACTGGACCCAACCCTTTCCACAAACTCACGGACCGAGAACTGGAGGAGTACCGCCAAGAAGTCGAAAGGAAGCAGAGGCAATCGGAAGGTCTGTGCGTTGCGTCAGCTGGGCACCGCCCGTGAGCCCACTGCCTCTTGGCTTGAACGGGCACGTCTTGCTGGAATCGGTGGAGTTTGGCTCCCAGTGTCTCCTGTGGGCTCACGGTGCCTGTCAACCCAGGCCATGCATGTGGTCTAACCACGGCACTGTCAGAGAAGCTTCCTCTAACTGCGTGGTGGCGAACGTAGGGCCCACGTGCCACAGGTAGCACGCAGAGCCCTCTCTGTGGGCACGGGCACCGGGTTTTATAAAACCTTTTCGCTTTAGGCCTCCACCGCTGTGTGCCCCCCCCAAAAAGGTTCAATCAATCAATCAATCAATTTCAACTTCTCACGGAAAAAAAATCTGGAATTGATTGAACTTTTTAGTCCCACCGATTCTGCCGTTACCACCGCAGCCACGCCCACCCAATGGGCCACCCCCACCCAACAGGCCACACCCACCTGACACCCGACGATACATAAGTGGCTTTTGGGTTGCAGTTTGGGCACTCGGTCTCTAAAAGGTTCGCCATCACTGCCCTAACTGATGCCACTATTATTTTTTCCGTCGTGGCATTTGTTTCCGGAAGCTTCCTATTTTCCCGTGCAATGTGAGTGAGAAGGGACAATGTTTGCTGCAAATTTGCAAAGGAGAGAAATCTTTCTTTCTTTCTTTCTTTTTCTTTCTTTCTTTCTTTCTTTATCTTGATTTTCTTTCTTATTTCTTTCTTGATTTTCTTTCTTGATTTTCTTATCTCTTGATTTTCATTCTTATCTCTTTCTTGATTTTCTTTCTTATCTTTCTTGATTTTCTTATCTTTCTTGATTTTCTTTCTTATCTCTTGAGTTTCTTGATTTTCTTTCTTGATTTTCTTTCTTGATTTTCTTATCTCTTTCTTGATTTACTTTCTTGATTTTCTTTCATCTCTTGATTTTCTTATCTTTCTTGATTTTCTTTCTTATCTTTCTTGATTTTCTTTCTTATCTCTTGAGTTTCTTGATTTTCTTTCTTATCTCTTTCTTGATTTTCTTTCTTATCTTTCTTGATTTTCTTTCTTATCTCTTGAGTTTCTTGATTTTCTTTCTTATCTTTCTTGATTTTCTTTCTTATCTCTTGAGTTTCTTGATTTTCTTTCTTATCTCTTTCTTGATTTTCTTTCTTGATTTTCTTTCTTATCTCTTGAGTTTCTTATCTCTTTCTTGATTTTCTTTCTTGATTTTCTTTCTTGATTTTCTTATATCTTTCTTGATTTACTTTCTTATCTTTCTTGATTTTCTTTCTTTCTTTCTTTCTTTCTTTCTTTCTTTCTTTCTTTCTTTCTTTCAACTCAATTGTAATCTGTTTTATAGAAGATGGTGAAGACGGCAGACAGCAAGGAGATAGGAGCTCTCCGGAAGAAACGGTCGCTTCCACCCCACCCAGCACTCCGGTCAAACTTGAGGAAGGTATGTTTTACTGTGGGTGGCATCCGAGGCGTTGCGTTTCCACTCCTTGGAGAAAAGACCCAGGAATGACACTTCTTAGTAGGAAGATGGAGCTAAATGGAGCTTTTGTGTAACTTTTCCAAGAAAACGACCCCTCCAGAAACACTCATTCAGCTTTCAGTGGCCAGGAAGGGCAATAATAGTTTTCCAGCGTTTCTTCAAACCATCCCCGATCCTTCTGACGAATCCAGTACCTTGAAGCTCCCCCTTTCGTGTCAGATCCATAAGTTACCTTGCATGATCCCCCCCCCCTCCTTGAACTGGGAGAGAAAAATGGGTTCAAAGCATAGTGACCTCGTTTGGAAGCCATTTCTCCTTTTTTTCTCCCCTTCACTTTGATGGAGCTGCTCCTTCATCAGTTGAGGGAGCATCCATCAGTTTTTGGGAAGAATCCCACAGCCTGGTGGCCCCTCAGGTGTAGCCACTGGGTTTCTCAGTCCCTTCCTAACAGTGCCCAGCTTTGTGTACGTGTGTGTGTATGTTTGCTTTTCCGTTCCGCAAAACACTGTACTGAAATGTCATCCTTTTTGCGTGCAGCCATCTGTGGACCTTCACACACACACCTCCTCTCTGTGCCATGTGCGTGCCAAGATCTAAAGCGCCGTTCCCTTTTCTGATGAATTTAAAAAAGGCCCTGACTATAAATCAGAAATTGGGAAGGAAGGCAGAGGTGCAACAGCTGGGCTCCCGTTTAGGATGCCGGCAGATCCACAGCTGGCCCCCAAGCCATGGACACTTCTGTGGGTCAGGCTGGATGGTGATTTTTGGGGGGGGGGAAATATTTGGCCTTAATTCATCCTTCTTCCCTACTAAGGTTGCCAACGTCTCTTCAACCTTTTACGGGTGGTCCTCGACTTAACCACCACAGCTGAGCCCAAAATTTCTGTTGTTAAGTGAGACGCTGGCTAGCGGAGTTTTGCCCCATTTCAACAACCCGTCTCGCCACCTTTGTTAAGCGAACCGCCGCAGTTCTGGGTTGTCGCTGGCAGCGTCCACCGTTAGAGGCTTTTTGCCTTCAGCCCAGGGATACCTGTGCCCACCAAGCCCAGCACAGATCCAGGAGTGCAGGATGGGCTAAGAGAGAGAGAGGAAGAGGAGCAGGAGCCAACATCTGGGTTGCACCTTCCTTAAGTGTGGCTGTAATCCCCCCCCCCCCAAATTTAGAAAGATGTCTTTCCTTGCCGGTCTCTGCTCAGGAAGACCAAGGCCAGAGACATCTTTCCGTGGCATTTTGTGGCGAATGTACAAGCAGCCATGTTTGTTGTCTTCTTTGTCAGCTCTGAGTATTGTCAGCCATCTGTGATTCAATTATCTGTCTCTCTTCCCCACCACCGACCCCCGTCCCCATTTCATTCTGTAACCCCTTTTAAGAATGGCCCTAGCCATTCTTTTTCTCTCTTTGACTCCAGTGGCTGTGATGGATGCATAGACTTTTTTTCTCTTTGTGCTTTTTTTTTTTTCCTCCTTCCTTCCTGTGGCTGCCTTACAAACAGGAGGTGGATATGCTAAAGAGTACCTGTTGCCATAGTAAGTATGACGGAGTTTCCACTCCTGCTTGCCTCCTGCCTTGTTTCTCCGCTTCGCTTCGTCGTGAACGGTTTTATTTTTATTTATTTATTCTGTTGTGTTTGTTTATTTATTTGCGGCCCCTTTTCCGGTGTCTTCCTTCCTCATGGTGTGTGGAGTTGATCCGTTCAGGCGCATTGCATACCTTTTTTTTTTTTTTTTTTAAGTTTGCTTAACTCTTCATTCGCTTGGCCAGCTTCATACGCAGATCAGAGGCGCATCTAATTGGGAATCCAGGTTAGATGCGTGTAGCCACGGTTGGGCCTTGGCGCTGTAACCCACTTCACCAGGGGGAGACAAAACCCTTTCCCTAGAGGGAGGGAAGATGTTGGCTAGGGTGTGTGATGCTTCCTACGTCATCACAACAGCCTCTGAACCTTCTCTTGGGAGAGAAAATCCAACACACGAAATAGGCACGTTGTGTCAGTCCCAACTGCTGCTCTTTTTCCAAGTGGCCCATGATCTTTGACCAGAAGGACAGGTCCACCTTCCTTCTGGGCATCAGATCCCTCGCAAAGGATGGTCCAGGTAAAGAAAACAAGACACCTGCATTTCTCTGGTCCTCAACATATGACTGTCGTATCTGTGAACGGTGACAAGTCAAGTAATATCTGTATGCGTACGGTGGCAAAACTCATCGTAATCTCTACAAAATGGAAACAGGCCATCCCTCTCCTATATTTCAATTGGTCGGAATAGCTACATATTCCATTAGAGTTACGAGGGACGCATAGCAGCACCCGCTTAACTCAGTAGGTCCCAGTTTTCCTTCTTCAGGTATAATCTTCCTTCAGGTATAATCTTAAGAAACCAGATGATGGTTTTTGGAGTTACTTTACATCCTGATTAAGGAAGTGGCTGTTCTTCTCTCCGGAGCCCGGCCAAAGCGAAAGCAGGAAAGGGGTGTAAATAGAGGGCCCGTGAAGTTATTTTCAGCAAAGCTAATTGGGCTTCTTAATTTGCCAAATGGCTTTACCCTTTCCCTTTGCTTTTAAATTAACCTAACAAAAGTTTTTTTGTTTTTAAAAACGTCTAACAGTTTTCGGTTTGCTGGGTTTGAAGTCCTTGTCATCACTGCACTAACCAATTCTAAACTTGAAATGAGAACAAACAATAACGCAGAATGGTTTGAATGCAGATAAAAGGATAAAGCAGGGAACATAATAGGGCAGGGGTCTTCAAACTTGGCCCTTTTGATGACTTGTGGACTTCAACTCCCAGAATTCCTCAGCCAGGCACGCGTGCCTGGCTGAGCAATTCTGGGAGTTGAAGTCCACAAGTCATCAAAGGGCCATGTTTGAAGACCCTTGCACTAGGACATCCCGCAGAACGGTAAATCTCTACTAAATCCCCTTAAATTCGATGGCCATTCTAGGACCCCCCAACTTCTGCTTAGAAAACATTAGAACGATCTGATTGGGTCTTCAGAAGATTTTCTCCTGTCCCGATTCACTCGTGTTTTAAATATCTGCCCTGTACACAAAACCAAACGTATCCTGGAATCTTTCCAGAATGCGCTAAACCTATTTTTATATATATATATTTTTTTGCTGAATGCGTCCTTCCTCTTGGGATCACAAGAACGGCCATTTTTCCTGGGCAGGAGAACCAGGAAGTGTCTAAGCAGTCATTTCTGTTGCTTTGACCAAGAGGAACACGGTTGTGAGCTGCTCCGTGGCTCTTCCTTGTGACCGCTCATGGGGTCTGGCTGGGGGAGATGATACCCCACTTGCCCAGTCCAGGGATGGGCAACCTTGGCTCTTTTATGACTGGTGGACTTCAACTCCCAGAATTCCTGAGCCAGCCTGGCTCAGCTTGGAAACCTCTCCCTTTCCCCTCAGCGTGGCTGGCTCAGGAATTCTGGGAGTTGAAGTCCACCAGTCATGAAGGGTCCATAGTTCCTACATGCTGGCTCAGGAATTCTGGGAGTTGAAGTCCACCAGTCATAAAAGAGCCAAAGTTGCCTACCCCTGGCCTAGGTCATGGGGGCACGCTTAGGTGCCCCTCCCTTTCCTTTACTCCCGCCCCCCTTCATATAAGCAGACAGGCAAAAGTTCCCTGCAGAGCTGGGCGTTCTCTCCTGCTTTGCTCAATGAGAACTGGATCCACGGGCCAGCCCGGAGGATGCTTTCTCTTCCCCCCCCACCACCCTGGGAGGCTTCTTCCCCTTCCACGCAAGGCTGGGTGTTGATCCCACACATGCAGCTTTGCATTAACCTTTCAGATACCAAACTTCGCTCATGTTTGCATGGTAGAGTCCCTGCGTTCCGTTATAACAGGGGTGGGCAACTATGCCCCCTGGACGACCCACAAACTTGTCCCAAAGGTGCTTTTTTCAGGAGGAAACTGGACTTTCTTGTTTTTCCTTTGAAGACGTTTCTCTTCTCATCCCAGAAGCTTCTTCAGCTCTGACTGGATGGTGGAGGGAACAGAAGGATTTATACTCCTTGCAGAGAGCTGGTCGTTTGCATCCTTTCAGAGAGCCGTCGAGGCCACTGGGATGTTTGTCTGTGCCGTCGGGGTCCACGTGGCCTCGACGGCCCTCTAAAAGGATGCAAATGTCCAGCTGTCTGCAAGGAGTATAAATCCTTCCATTCCCCACCCTCCAAGTGGCCTCAACGACTCTCTAAAAGAAGGCAAATGACCAGCTCTCTGCAAGGAGTATAAATCCTTCCATTCCTCCACCATCCAGTCAGAGCCGAAGAAGCTTCTGGGATGAGAAGCGAAACATCTTCAAGGAAAAACAAAGAAAGTCCAGTTGCCTCTTGAAAAAAAGCACCGTTGGGACAACCTCTGAGAACCTCTGTAGACAAATCCGTGAACCTCAACTCCCAGAGTTCCGACTCTGGAACTCCCAGACTTCGCATGCTGGGCTCAGGAATTCTGGGAGTTGGAAATCCACAGGCTGTAAAGGGGCCGTAGTTGCCCACCTCTGCTTTATTGAGACCAGGAGGGGAGAGAGGGGGGCACACCTGTCTGAAAAATGCCTCTGTTCCAACTGCGAGGGCCGATTCAGGGGAGGGAGGGTTTTCATCGGCCCCTGAAAGAACTAAAGCGTGCCCACAATTTTGCCATTCCCTAATCCACCCAAACCGGGGATGATGGTGGTGGTGGGGGTGACTGTCCAGGACGTTTGGCAAAAGTCCCTCGTAGCTCCTCAAGAGAAATTGAGGTTGGCAGCACCAGCATCAACGTCCAGGCCTTGTCTCCAACCCTCCCTCAGTCCTGGAAGAAGCTCTGGGTGAAATGGAGACCAACTTCTGCCTAGGAGCCTGGTTGCGTGTGAACCCCAAAGTCTGGGCACCCTTTTAGCCAGATTTTTCTTTTTTTTGGCTCTGTCCCTGGTGCAAGTACTCTAGTTCTCCGGGCTGGCTGTAGAGCGCCACGCTTAGGGACCCCCCCACCCCCCGTGCCAGCCCCTCACCCTGAACCATTCCAGAAAAGCAGCTCTTCCACAGGTGGAAATGGGTGCCGTCGACCAGGGTGCCAGGCGCCCTGGAGCTGACCCCGAAACCTCCCGTTCTTTTGAGCGTCCTTTTAGGGCGGCCGTTTCCCTGGCCAAGATTCGGGGGGGGGAACCACATTTCCACTGGGTTAACATTGAGCTTAAGATCACCCCCCCTCCCTCCTCGCCCCTTCGCCTGCAGCCAGGAAAGTCCCTAAAGCAAGCAGCCCCCCACTCCCCAAAAATTGACCCTTTTGCAGTCCTTTGCATGCATTTTTTGGCTCGGGGTGTGCCAGGAGAACGCTGAGTTGTTTGCAAAATGTCCAAATATTGGCTGGCTTCTCTCTCGGGGCGCTGTGGATGGGAGGGGGCTGCCCGGGATTGGACCCCAGGAGCGGCACCCTCCCTCCCAGAGGCCAGTGAAGGAAGGTGGGTGCCATCTCTTCACACCACATCTCCCCCCCCTTCTCCTGTCGCTTGCTCCCCAGAACGGCCGGCGGGCCACGAAGGCAGCAGCAGTGAAGCCGCCACTTCCCAGCCAAGCCTCCCAGACCTCACCGCTCCCAACCAGCCTTCGGAAGAAGTCTTCGGAACGGAGGATGACGACCCCGACCCAGCGCTTGCTGCCCCCCAGAAGGAAGGCCCTCCCGAGAGCCCCCAGCCCTGCCCTTCCCCGAGCGGAGAGCCCCCTGCGTCTCCCCCGGCCGAGGATGGGGCAGCGGCCGAAGCCGGCAGCGAGGAGTCTCCGGGGAAGTCTCCCTCCAAGAAGAAGAAGAAGTTTCGCACCCCGTCCTTCCTCAAGAAGAGCAAGAAGAAGAGCGAGCCCTGAAGTCCTCCCCCCGTCCCTCCCCCCCTCCTCCCCAAAGGGAGGGGTCTGGTCTTTGCGCATCTCCCCCTCCTTTATTAATTCTCCCCCTCCCCGGAATTATATCAGATTCTGCCTTGTGCTTTCGTTTGGTCTTTCTTGTAAAAAAAAACAAAACAACCCAGGACAAACAACATTATCGCTTGACCGATTTGCGTTTGTAATTGGAATTTAGCAATCAGCAGGTGCCGATTTTTTATATGTGCGCGGAAAAAAAAGCAACAAGCAAGCAGCCGAGCGGGGAACATCCCGAGCATGTGAAGAAGTGGATTTCCCGGTGGGAGCCACTTTGTGAAAACAAGTTTGAAGTCCCTCTCTCCCCTCTCGGCTTTCTATGTGAAGGCGACGCGCCCTGCTCATTCCTCCCAAGTCTGCCTGCGTTCTCTGGTGCAGGTGGTTGTGGGTCCGGCCGAGCCCATTTCTGTGCAATTGGGGGGGGACCCTCGTGACCGCTTCCTCCGCCTTGCCCTTCGCCTCCCCCCGCCCCGAGGCTTTACGGCCGCTCTCTGCCTTGCTTGGTGTCGTAACATCGCTGAGACTGGAGCCTATTTTTGTGTCTTAAGAATGAAGTTAACTTGTGGCGTTTTTCTTGCTCATCCCGCCTGTTTTCTAATTCAGTTTAATAATAGCCTTTTTTTTTCCCCACAGAATAATCCGCTATTTTACTAATTTGTTTTCTAGCAAAGCATTGTACTCAAGTCACACTTATACCGATGAAAGATAAGTTCACGTCCTTGGAAATAAAATGTATTCCTAGCAGGCCCAGACTGGCTTCCTTCATTTCTGCGCCTCCTCCTCCTCTTCCTCCTCCGTTGCACCAGGGACAGATCTGGGTGCCGGTCCCGACACCAGGTGCTGGTCCAAAAATCCAGAAACCCAGCGAGAGAATGAAGCCCTTTCTGGAATCCATAAAGGACCCTAACCCTTTTTTTTCTCCCGGACATAACGGTGAGACGAACACCAGAAATGGCTCCACCTTGTGCCAAGCCAGCCTTGGATGACCCTAAAAAGCTACCCACCCATCGGGGGACTCTGTGGTGGAACCCATATGTTACATTCTTTACCATGCTTAAAGGAAGCTCCGCTAAAAACTTACTTTATTATATGGAAAAAGAAAATGGAAAAATAGTCCTCTCTCGACACACGTTCTTCTGCAGCATACAAAACATTACATCAGCATTTCGGTAATACAAAAGGAAGGATAATTAGACCTACCCATCATCGTTTTAAAGTTCCCAATGTCTCCAAAGTCTTACCCAAAGGGGACATGGTTACGGTAAGACACGGTGAAATACGGAAGGTAGAACTGACAAGTGCCTCCAGGATATGGTGCATTTGGCCTGTATCTGTTCTTCCGTGCCTCTTTTGGGAACGAAAAAATCTTGACTATTTTGATGCAAGCACTTTGGTCACCTGTCCACGGAGTCGGACAGTCGGTTTCGCGACAACTTCAACGGCAGAAATGTAGACGAGAGCCTCTCCAGGAAACCTCAATCTCAATCTCTTTGGCCATTTGGTTCCATCCAGGCCCTTCTCTTGCCCGTCCCGCGTTCCCCTACTATTCAACTGTAATTTAGATCCCTCTTCTGCCACTTGCCTTCTAGGACAAGAGAGAGATATTGTGAATTTTTCTATTTTATCTAATTGCTACCCTTTCTCAGAATCCACGTAGGAAAGGACTTTTGCTGGTTTGTGTAACCAGGAAGCAAAAAAGAAGAAGACTTAATTAAGAAAAGAACGAGGTTCGGGAGTCGGAAGAGACACCACAGGGACGTGAAGAAAGAGCACCAATCGCGGTGAAGGCAAATGGGGAGAGCCTTATGGGCCACAGGCAGCAACAACCTTCACCTCAAACTTAGGGACTCCCAATCCAAGATTGGGTCACCCAAGATTGAGTCTCACGGCCTCATAGTAAAGACCTTGTGGGCAAATCCGTGAAGGCGTGTGCGAACTTCCCACTTTGAGGAAATCTCCCAGCTGTGAGGGAGAGGACCTGGGTTGTACTAGATCAGACATGTCAAACACAAGGCCCGGGGGCCGGATGCGGCCCGCTAAGTGGTTTCATGTGGCCCGCGAAGCCATCCTGGAAACAGTGAGGGAACAGCCCCCTCTGCTTTGGCCCTGGCCCAGGCCGGCCAGGAGCCAATGTACAATTTTGTGGTGGCCATCTATGCTGAAACGCGTTCAGTCTTAGCTCCACAAAGCCGTCCGGAAACAGCAAGGAACCAGCCCCTGCTGTGTCGGCCCCGCCCCCTGGGTGCATGCTTTGTGACACCCTTTGTGAGGAATGAAGAAATGGACCATGTCTTGGCGCTTGCCCCGGTCCCACCCCCTTCTGCCAGAGACCCTCAGATCTGTCCCACTCCTGCCCAGGCCCCCACAGGCACCCTTGACACGAACGATGTAGAGCTGGTCATGCCCACCCAGTAGACCACACCCACTCCATCCACGCCCATCCAGTAGGCTGCACCCACCCTGGCCACACCCATACGCCCCCCCCCCCCGAGGGCAACTGCAATGCTGATACGGCCCTCAATGAAATTGAGCTTGACACCCCTGTACTAGACTTTGTAATAGGTTATCATGGATTGAGCAAGTAGGCATCTTCACCATCCTATTTGTAGGAAGGCGGTTTTATCCAAAGAGCCTTTTTCATGGGTCATTTGCTCAGACCCTGGTATACACACACATACACACACACACACACACACAGAGATATTCCCACGGAAGGACCTCTGCTCAAATTCAGGCAAAGACGGTAGAAGGCCGCTGTGAAAAATAGCATCCATGCTCTGGTGAGGTCTTCCAGGATCAATTCTTGAGTTTTCTGGAGAAACTTGGTCGTCCGAGTAGTTTACTCCTCTTTGTTTGGCTTTGGCATCCACCGGAGCAGGACGAAGGGCAGCAGGAAGAGAGAGGCACAAACGGTGAAACAAACCTCAGCTCCGGCCAGCCAGTACACTGCAAGCCAAAAGCCGGTTTTAAGAACATTTGAGCAATCCCGGGATTTTCTCCCACAGGTGCCGATTCCCAATCGGGACCCTGACAGTGGGGAGGGCTGCGCGTCGTTTGGCCAGGACCTTTGACCCCCTGGAAACTGCCACCCAACTACCACCACCCCCTCTTCCTGAGTGACAGGCACTTCTTCCCACGTCGCTTACCTGTCGCTGAGACGACCGGCCCAAGAGACCTCGCAAGCGCCCCCAGACTCCTTAGGATGCCCATCACGGTCCCTTTTTGACTGTCCAGCCCTGGGGGGGGGGAAGTGGAAGATCTTTAGGGTGGTTTCCTCACTAGGTTTTGCCATTTCAATAAAAGAGAATATTTGTGGCTCAGGGTTCACAAGTGCTGTCTGAGCTTGTTTTCCCGCAGACGTTGCCTTACCCAACTAGGGAACACCATCAGTGCTAGAAGGGGTGTGTTCTGTTTATACGCAAGGAGCTGGCTTGTAGACCGCAAACACCCTCCCTTCCCTTACAGCACTGATGACGTTGCCTAGATTGGGTCATGCAACGTCTGCAAGAAAACAAGCAAGCTCAGAGAGCAGAAATGTGGCATTCCTGAAGGCCGTTTAGCTTACCGTAGCCGGATACCACTGTAGACAGGCAAGGGACAACCACGGCTGCAGCTGCAAGCAAAGTAAACAAGGCTGTTAGGCTGGAGTGCCTGCAACTCTGCAGAGAAGAATCTCTACTACAAGCCTGCCAGAGCAGCCCATCACCTCACCTGGAGCAACCTACGTACGTCTCCATTTTGCTCTCTTATTTTTCCTCCAGGTTGAAGCCGGAGCAGTTGGCCTTCTCTCCCAAGAGATCCTAATTAACCTCTCTCTTGCTAGTGCCGTACAAATAGTTTACAAGAGGAGGAGACCTTCCTGTGAAGCGTGAAAGCAGCCGTGTCTTTTGTAAAGTTGCCCCTTCTTCAGTTCTGACTGAATGGTGGAAGGTGGAAGGATTTATACTCCTTGCAGACAGCTGGTTGTCAGTACTCCTCCTGAGAGTCGTTGAAGCCACTTGGAGGTTTATCTGTGCCCTTGGGGGGGGTCACCTAAATAGTGCAAATGGGCGTGGAATCCTTCCTGGAGCTGCTGAAATGACCGTGTTGCAAACAGAAAGAGTGCTAACAATCAGATGACTGCAAGGAATATAAATCCTTCCATCCTCCACCATCCAGTCAGAACTGAAGAAGCTTCTTGGATGAGAAGCGAAAAGTCTTCAAGGAAAAACAAGAAAGTCCAAGTTGCCCTTTGAAAAAGAACTTTTGGGACAACCCTCACCTGGCTGACTGAGAATCTCCATAGACGCCAGCAAGGGACCATTTCCTGACAATATAATTCTCTTCATTTTTTTTGGTCCTTCTTTAATAAATACTGCGGACTGCTCTGATCCAATGTCTCGCTTAACAAAATCGGCCTTGCTGGGATTGATGATTCCCAAAAAGCCCCAATAATCTCCTGCTATTCCCAACAAACTGGAAAGCTGCAACAGAATTTGAGGTCCCACAAGTTAGTCGTAAGTCCCCTCTATATTGTATAATGCTCGGCGAAATTGACATGCATTTCATTGTCTTGGAGTGCTAAACTTAAGAAAGCTATGAGTTCGGCGGAGCATGTTCGTCTTGGTTTTCAGTTGTGTGTGGCTGACGAGGTCTGGGTGAGAAACTTACCAAAAGAGTAAAACAACAGCCCTGTACCGAGGACGATAATATTAGGGCTCCAGCCGATTAAAAGGAAGCCAGGCGCTGACAACATTATTGCCTGTCAAGGGAAAATAAAACAGGAGTGAGGAATCTCATCATTGGACATCCCTGGTCTGTTAACATCTAGCTCAGGTAGTCCTTAACTTATGGCCTCAATTGGGCCCAAAATTGATGTTGCTGAGAAATTTAGCAACTGAGCTTTGCTTTTAATATGTGCCATTGTGCCCACAGGAAAAAAAAATGACAATAAAGGTTATCCAATCCAATAATAATAATAATAATAATAATAATAATAATAATAATAATAATAATAATAATAATAATAAAGTTGGAAGGGACCTTGGAGGTCATCGAGTCCAACCCCATGCTCAGGCAGGTAACCCTAGCCTAGACCATTTCGGACAAATGGCTGTCCAGTCTCTTCTTAAAACTTCCAGTGTTGGCGCATTCACCGCTTCTGGAGGCAGGTGGTTCCACTGGTTAATTGTTCTAACTGTCAGGAAGTTTCTCCTTAGTTCTAGGTTGCTTCTCTCCTTGATTAGTTTCCATCTGTTGTTTCTTATCCTGCCTTCAGGCGCTTTGGAAAACAGCCTGACTTCCTCTTCTTTGGGGCAGCCCCTGAGATACTGGAAAGCTGCTATCATGTCCCCCCTGGTCCTTCTCTTCATTAAACTAGACATACCCAATTCCAGCAACCGTTCCTTATATGTTTTAGCCTCCAGTCCCCTGATCATCTTTGTTGCTCTTCTCTGCACTCTTTCCAGAGTCTCAACATCTTTTTTACATCGTGGTGACCAAAACTGGATGCAGTATTCCAAGTGTGGCCTTACCAAGGCATTGTAAAGGGGTATTAATACTTCACGTGATCTTGATTCTATCCCTCTGTTAATGCAGCCCAGCACTGTGTTGGCTATTTTGGCAGCTGCAGCAGATGGCTGGCTCCTATTTAAGTGATTGTCCACTACTAGGACTCCGAGATCCCTCTCGCAGTTACTACTGTTGAGCAAGGTACCCACTATACTATACCTGTACATTTGGTTTTTCTTGCCTAAATGTCGAACCTTACTTTTTTCACCACTGAATTTCATTTTGTTAGATAGCGCCCAGTGTTCAAGTCTGTCCAAGTCCTCCTGTAATCTAATCTCAATTGCCTCATGAAAAAAGCACCGTTGGGATTACCGTGACCTGGATGACTGAGAATCTCCGTAGACGTTTGGCTAAGAGGAAAACGTACCGTTTTAACCACCCTCAGTTCTGCTCCGGGCTTAATCTGGCGAGTGTAGCCCCCCTGGATCACAGCCATGGTGACACCGATGCAGAAAAACATTTTCCCTTGTTCCAGACTAAAGACGGGGGAAAAAGAGAGCTGAAACACAAATTGTGGCCACAGCGCCTGGACACAGCTGGATGAGATCCAGAAATGTCATCCCCACTTATTCTTAGTCCTTGGTTAACGACCGACTGAAGTTACAACAGCCTCTGACGTGGTGCTTTATGGCTTGTAAAGCCGCCATCGCAAAACGTTGCCAAACAGCCTCTCTGGTGATGGGATCCTTATCTGGGTGTTTGCCCAGCAATTATGTGTCAGAATCTTCTCTGCCGGTCTCCCCAGAAAGTCACTGGGGAAGACGGCAGAAAAAGCCACAAGCAGCTTCTACCTACTAAGACAGTAGTTCTCAACCTGTGGGTCGGGACCCCATTTGGGGTCGATCAACCATTTCATGGGGGTCGCCAAGCAAGGCTGTCCGCCATTTTTTTTGTCTGCCATTTTTTTTTGTCCGCCATTTTTCCCCCTTTTCCGGCGGGTGCCTTACCTCCCTTGAGCTGGGCCAGCTGGTGGTCGGCCTGCTCCGTCTCTGCCACTTGCCAGCTACGCCTCGGCCGGCGCAGGGGGCGGAACCACGCATGCGCGGCGCTCCCGGGCAGGGAAAGTTCTCAACTTACGACCGGCTGGGTAGTCCTCGACTTACGACCGGTTTAGTCCTCGACTTACGACCGGTTTAGCCCTCGACTTATGACCGGTTTAGCCCTCGACTTATGACTGGTTGGGGTCACGGCATTAAAAAGGTTGAGAACCATTGTACTAAGAGGATTCCCTCACGGCTTGGAGGACAGGCTGAAGATCCTTTTGCAATCCATGCCTGCTTGGATTGCCAAAGCTGCAGTCATCTGCCTTCTTTTAGAGCGTCGTTGAGACCACTTGGATCCTGAGGACACAGAACAATCTCCCAGTGGCCTCAACGACTCTCTAAAAGAAGGCAGATGACCAGTTTTCTGCAAGGAGTATAAATCCTTCCATTCCTCCACCATCCAGTCAGAGCTGAAGAAGCTTCTGGGATGAGAAGCGAAACGTCTTCAAACAAAAAACAAAGTCCAGTTGCCTCTTGGAAAAAAAGCAACTATGTCCTGGATGACTGAGCATCTCCATAGACCTTTATGGGGTTTTTTTTTATGGGACTTAGGAAAATACCTCTTTTTTCTCTCCTCTCAGAGACCCATGTTATCAAGCGTGGCAGGAGAAGACGGGAGGAGAAATTTAATATTTGGAACAGACTTGATTTTATAAAATTAAACGCCATTGATCTTTAAAGGTTTTGAGGGGACGGTGACTGTGGCAGGCTGGATCCTGCTAAATACCTGCTGAATTGGAAGTGCTGATGGACCAGGAAACCCAACGTGTATTCCAGGCCAGAGAATAGGAAAAGGTATAGGAAATACACCAAGCCCAGGATCTGGAGATCTGCAGGAGGAATAAAATGACCAAAGCTGATTGGGAAACATCAACAAAGTCTGTCTTCTTTGCAAACCATGGATTGGAATTGGCTTCAGATCGGAAATTGTGAGATCAGGGTCAGGAATTCAGACAATGAGGGTCAATCGTTCATCTAAATTATTGTTTGCAAACCAGGTAAAGACAGATCGTCTCCAGAGTCAAGCCCGAATCTGGGACTTCATGGAAACACAGGTAGTCCTTGACTTAATGGCCACAATCTTACGTGGCCAAGCGGGACATTCGTTAAATCGAGTTTTGCCTCATTTTACGGCCTTCCCTGCCACCGTTGTTCAGCGAATGGCTGCACTTGATAAGTTAGCATCCTGGTTATTAAGCGAATCTGGCTTATTTGGTTTGTCAGAAGTTTGGGAAAGGGGATCACATGACCCCAGGACACCACAACCGTCATAAATATGAGTCAGTTGCCAAGTGCTTAGAGTTTTGAATTTTGATCACGTGACCGCAGGATTGCTGGAACGGTCGTTAAGCGTGAAAAATCGGCCATAAGTCATTTTTTTCCCCAGTGCCGTTGTAACTTTGAACAGTCACTGAATGGACTGTTGTAAGTTGAGGAAACCTGTGTCCTGATTTTTCTCGTGTTCATAGGAATTCATCGTTGGCCATCTCTATTTTTCAAAATGTCTTCTGACTGTCTTTGCTTCGTGAGGTAACCAAATAGCCCAAATGACAGCAAGGCCAACAACTATTAACCCTTTCCTTCAAGGTGCCCAGCTGGACAGCCAACAGGGAAAGAAGGGGGGGGCTGTCCAAGAATAGAGTCAGTGGGAGACAGAAGAGGTCAAAGTTGGTCATGGTCATCTACTAAAGACGCCAAGGACTTAATCCTTGATATCGTGTTTGGTAGTGAGAGTGTTTGGCTGATTTACCTCAACAGTTGACCGAATCCCCCCCCTGACTTCATCTCACATCTCCATTTATACCAAAGCCCGGGTCCCATTGGTTGGGGACCCCAGCCACGCTCCGGGAAAAGATCCCGGAAGCGTTTGCAGGATGGATCCAAAGGAGAATCCAATGGATTTCTAAAGGAGTCGTCATCAGACGCCACCCGAGGACAGGAAATGGAAAACACTTGCTATCTCTGGAGGGTCCTCCCATCTTCTGACGTACTGCCGAGAACCGGAACAAGGCCCAGGGACTGATCAGGTTGAAGGCCGACTGGAAGCTGGATGTCATGGAGGACACCTGCCCAAGGCAGAAGAAAGACACGATCGGTGATGGTGCCCATAAAATCCAATTTTACCTCCTTCCATATTTTACCGTCATTATTTTTTGTCAAGCTTAGAATTTTCCTCAGCGAGAGTCACCCCCAAGTACTGTGCCTTTTCCCCCAATTTTAAAACCGGTTTTAAATTTAATTTAATTTTACTTTAATTTTAACTTCTGATCTTCACACCTTTATGTTCTTAGCCAGTATTCCCGTCTTGGATTGATTGATTCTGAAACCCGCCGTTTCTCCAAATATTTTAATCTTCCTCATCACATGTTCAGTGTTCTCTACTGGGCCTTGCACAATCAATACCAAAATAGTCAGCAAATGCATGCCATTTGTAATGGTGCACTTTAATTTGTAGTCCTTTTGCTCTGCTATCCTGTCTAATATTTTTCTTTAACACATCCAACACTAGAATAAACGATGAAGGGATAAAAGACACCCCCTGGCTTGTTCCCTTCTGGATTTCACATGGTTTTGTAAAGTCTTCATTCACCATGATTCAAGCTTTCTGGAGTGTATAGATTGGACACCACCCTCCCATACTCTTCCACACATATGCTGCAAATCCTGCACATGGCAGAGGATTATCCCAGCAATCGGTTATCACCCATTTCAGAATAGAATAGAATAGAATAGAATAGAATAGAATAGAATAGAATAGAATAGAATAGAATAGAATAGAATAATAGAATAGAATAGAATAGAATAGAATAGAATAGAACAATGAAAGAATGGAACAGAATAGAATAGAATAGAATAGAATAGAATAGAATAGAATAGAATAGAATAGAATAGAATAGAATAGAATAGAATAATTGTCACTTTAAATGTACACTAATCAGCATACATTAAAATGAGATTTTGTTGCATACAAAGAGTAACCATCTCCAATATACACTGCATAATATACACTCTCAAAGAGTAACCATCTCCAATATACACTGCATAATATACACTCTCAAAGAGTAACCATCTCCAATATACACTGCATAAACATGATTAAAAAATAAATAAATTATGCATGTACCCACATACACACATATGCGGCCCAGAGAAACAACGCAGTCTGGTTTGGATGTATACATATACATGGCGAGAAAGACAAAGAATCCTGCGAATTTACAAGATGGATGGCCTAAGGAACAAAGCTGTTACAGAATCTAGTAGTTCTGCTATAAGTACTTCAAAACCTCCTCCCAGAGGGGAGCAACAGAAACGGACCGTAAAGTGGGTGCGTGGGGTCTTCTAACAATGCTCCGCGCTCTAAGCACATAGCGCTTATGAGCAGTATCCTGAATCACGGGAAGCGAGCTTCCTATAATCTTTTCAACTGTCCTTACCACCCTCTGTATGGACCTTCTATCTGAGGCTCAGCTACCACCAAACCAGACAGTGATGCTACTGTATTGATTCATATACTTTAAGAAGACTTGGAATCCATGGGCTGTAGACTCTGATCAAGCCCAGCACAGACATTCCGAATAGCATACAAGTAAGGTCATCCTTGCCATGGTTTTCTTGAAGTCCATCATGAGGTTGAAGGATATCAGAGGTCTTCCAGCTCTTCCGGGAATCCTTTCACAATCCCAACCTTTGCTTGAAAACCTCCAGTAATGGCCCTTGGGATACCAGCAGGCAGGATGTGCCCCTGCCGAAGAGCATTAAAAAACAGGAAATTCCTCCTTTGTTTCAAGTCTGGAGATCCACTTGAAAAGCTCCCACCTGAAGGAGCTCTTGTCCTGTTTTCCACGCCCTTCAGATAAAGGAAGAGACTGCCACTGCCCTCATCCACTTTTTCAATTTCCACCTCTAGCTACATAAGTGCATAGATGTGGGGTCTCCAAACGTGGCAACTTTTTTAAGACTTGTGGACTTCAACTCCCAGAATTCCCCAGCCATTCAGGGAATTGCACGTCTGCAAATCTTAAAAGTTACCACTGGCATAGATGGTCCCTACAATCTGTCTCCTGCCAGGTCCAACTTACCTCTTCTGGAAGCAGCTGACATCAAAAAAAAAGACACCCGTTAGTTTGTTTTTCTGATTATTTCCAGAATAACGTATTACCCGTTTTTCCTTTGGGAGCGTCTCCGGCAAGCAGGCGGAGATGAACAGGAAATCAGTCACAGCAAAGATGGTGGCAAAGATGGCGGCTCTCACGTAGAAGACTTGGTCCTTCTCCGTCTCCAGAACGAGGAAGGCGCCCAGCATCGGCCCGAGGGTGAAGCCCAAGGAGAAAGCCAACCCAATCATGGCCTGGAGGAAGGATTCAGCAAACATACTTTGGCTAACGTGCCTCCTTCAAACAAAATTCCAGAGCCGCAAACCCTGATCAAAATCCTCAACTTGGTTTCTCCTGGGTGCGCCCCGTTGTCCATAAGTACTTTCAGGAACACAAAAGCAATATTTTCTTCAAAAATGTGGGGCCGTACTTATTTCTTTGAGTCACATACACTAAGGCCCCACACCGACCCACATAATTATTAATCATGCCCTAGGTAATTAATAATCATCTAATTATAATTATTCATAACTAGCTGTACCCGGCCACACGTTGCTGTGGCTGAGTCTGGTTAAATGGAAAAGAAAGAAAACAGAAAGCGCACGTTTGTGTCACAGGTGTGACATCTATATAATAGTAGGTATATAAAAACGCGCATGTTCGAATGCAACGTTGTGTCAAAATTTCAAAGCAATCGGTGAAGAACTTTCGGAGATTTAAGATTTTGAACAAACGAACATTTACATTTTTATTTATATAGATTATGATTTATTATATTAATTATATCAATATAACAATATAATAATAGTAATAATAATTAATTATTATTATTATTATTATTATTATTAATAATAATAATTAATTATTATTATTAATAATAATAATACTAATAATAATAATAATAATAATAATAATAATAATAATAATAATAATAATAATAATAATAATAAGTTGGAAGGGGCCTTGGAGGTCTTCTAGTCCAACCTCCTGCTCAGGCAGGAAACCCTATACCATTTCAGACAAATGGCTGTCCAGTCTCTTCTTAAAAACTTCCAGTGTTGGAGCACATAATTAATGCTATAGTTTACTAATTATATTAGTTAATCGTTACTAATCATGCCGTAGATCCTGGACACAAACGGGGGCAAAATTCACTTCACTAATCTCTCCATTGTGGTCGTAAGTTGAGAACTACCTGTATATATTTTGGGAGCTGGTTCTTCATCTGAATCCTTCTAATCTAAGTCCTTCCTGGACGGGACTCAGGTTTCAGAACGGGACTTGAGCAAAATCAAAATTAAAGTGAAACGTCACTATTTGGAAAGCTGACGCAGCCTAAAACTGCCTTTGCGTTTTTCATGGTCGCATCAGACTGCTGACTTGGATTCCGTTGAATTTAATTTGACAAACATCCACATCTGCCTATCCCAGGTCCTTGGGAAGGACTCAACAGGTAGACAAAAATGCCAAATCCAGTCTGAACATCTGGCTGACTGTGCGATGATCAATAACAACAACAACAATAAAATAAAAAAATTAAAAAATATGGCGTATTCAGGGGTAGTCAGCCTTGGCTCTTTTATGACTCGTGGACTTCAACTCCCAGAATTCCTGAGCCAGCATGGCTCAGCTTGGAAACCTCTCCCTTTCCCCTCAGCATGGCTGGCTCAGGAATTCTGGGAGTTGAAGTCCACCAGTCATAAAAGAGCCAAGGTTGACTACCCCTGGCGTATATGGTTTCCTGCCTGAGCCGGGGCTGGACTAGAAGACCTCCAAGGTCCCTTCCAACTCCGCCCTTCTGTCAAACACAACAAGGACTCACCATGCCTTTACTCCGAGCTTTTGGGCACTGCAGATCAGCGACGATGGCCGTGCAGAGGCTGACGTTCCCTTTGCTGATCCCGCCGAGAATCCGGGAGCAAAGGAAGAGCTCGAAACTGCTGGAAACGGCCCAGAGCGCGTACGAGGCGATCAGGCCCAGCTGCAAGGGAGAGGAGAGAGATTTTGGCCTTCTCAGACGAGGATCTGCTGAAAGGGGAGCATCTCCTGGGTTTGTTCCACTCAACGGATCAGGTAAGTATCTCTACGTCTCCGTTATAAAGAGAGAAAAGGGATCCCTCCTTTTCAGATGGGATCCCAACACGTGCTCTGGACCAGGGGGGGCTGCATCCGTCCACGCCTCCCCTCCGGCCGAAACCAACGTACCGCAGTGGCCAGCAGGGCTGGTCGTCTCCCGAAGGAATCCGAAGCAGCCCCGGTGAGGGGCGAGGCCAGGAACTGAAGCAAGGAAAAGAGGGAGCCGATGAGACCTGGAAGAGAAGAACGGAGGTGGGGAGGTGCCGTGGACTGCAGGCCGTCTTCTGCCTACTGGCCCCCACTTAGTTTACCTCTTTTCCCCCACTAATGAAGTATTTAAAGCAGGAGGGTTCAAGCTGGGCAACTTTTAAGACCTGTGGACTTCCACTCCCAGAATCCCCCAGCCAGCCAGTGTCCATCTTTGGCAACTTTTAAGACCTGTGGACTTCAACTCCCAGAATCCCCCAGCCAGCCAGTGTCCATCTTTGGCAACTTTTAAGACCTGTGGACTTCCACTCCCAGAATCCCCCAGCCAGCCAGTGTCCATCTTTGCAAACTTTTAAGACCTGTGGACGTCCACTCCCAGAATCCCCCAGCCAGCCAGTCTCCATCTTTGGCAACTTTTAAGACCTGTGGACATCCACTACCAGAATCCCCCAGCCAGCAAGAGGGTTCCTCCAGACCAGACACTAACTAAGGCCCCAGCGTGCAATAAAGGGAATTTCCTACCTCCAAACAAGACGCTGTTGTATTTCCTTTCCGGTGGAATGCCAAGGCTGCCGCTGAACCAGTCCACGCCGGCTTGCACCCTCTTGTAGAGCCCATCCTGGGGAAGAAGGGAAGAGATTGGGCAAAGGGGAGGAGGGATGAGGGGAGCCATCACCAGCCCCATCCCTTTCTGCCAGAATTATTTTGGTATTTATGGCAGTATTCCAGTATTTGAGGGGCTGCCCCAAAGAAGAGGGAGTCAAGCTATTCTCCAAAGCACCTGAAGGCAGGACAAGAAGCAACGGATGGAAACTCATCAAGGAGAGAAGCAACCTGGAACTAAGGAGAAACTTCCTGACAGTGAGGACAATTAACCAGTGGAACAGCTTGCCACCAGAACTTGTGGATGCTTCATCACTGGAGGTTTTAAAGAAGAGACTGGACAGCCACTTGTCTGAAATGGCGCAGGGTCTCCTGCTTGAAACAGGGTTGGACTAGAAGACCTCCGAGGTTCCCTTCCAGCTCTGTTCTGAATGCTAGTGCCTCTCTCTCAACACAACCCACTTCACAGGGTTGTTATTGTGGGGGGGGGGGAATAGAAGGAGGAAAGTGTGTTTGGATATATTTTCCGCCTTGAGTTATTTGTGAAAATTATAAAGGTGGGGTCTCAATCAATCAATCAGTCAATCGATAAAATTGTCCCACCAAGATGGGAAACGCACTTTTTTGCCATTTTCCTGATCCCAGAAGCTCCTAAAAAAATGCCCCCCCCTCCCAGTGCATCCTCTGTCAGATAGGCTGGAGGATGGCAGTCTTCTCCCCCTCCCATAATCTCATATTTTATCTCTTCTCTACAAACCAATCTTTAAAGCTTCATCATTCCGTCCTGAGGTCAGCCAAAAAGTCCAGAAGGGGAGAAAACAACGCGTCTATTTTAGCCGCGATCAAATAAACCAACTTTATATTCCTTCTGCTTACATGACTTTCAACAGTCTTTAAATCAGTGCTTCTCAACCTTGACCATTTTAAGGCATGTGGACTTCAACTCCCAGAATTCCACAGCCAGCATTGCTGGCTGTGGAATTCTGGGAGTTGAAGTCCGCATGCCTTAAAATGGTCAAGGTTGAGAAGCACTGCTTTAAATGTTTTGATATGCCTTCCCTTTCCATCTTCAATCTTCTCAAATAAAGCCCTGAAACGTCAACTTCTTCTCTTTTTTTTTCCCTTTTCTTTGTCCCTTCCCACAAAATTCTTCACAACTCTGAAAGGTCTCGCGAAGCGGGGGCGGTGGGGCAGTTCTGAAAAGCCGCCGGGCAGCCACGTGTTGGGGAGACGGTCTGTTGGGGGGGCTCCCCTTACGTTGCCCTGTTTAGTTGCGTGTCGAGTAGCCCTGTTTTTGCTTTGGGCGAGGATTTCCACCTGTACTTTTCCAGGTGGGGCTTCCTGGATTGGTCTTACAACCTGGGTGTGTGTGTTGCACAATCTGCAAAGCAGCGGCCTTGTTGCACGGCGTGGCTTTCTCGTTCCCGCCTGGAGCGTGTCCTTCCTCAGAGGAGGGAAGCGTATATCACAAGTGCCAGCTTTGCAGCTTCAGCCGTTGGGAGACTTCCTTATTTTAAGTTTCGTGATTAGGAAACCCCCTGCCCGCTATTCCATCTCCTGCCCACCGCTGGCTTAGATGAAGTGGTGGAATGAAATGTCAAAAAAATATAGATAGAGAGATCAAGGCAAACACACACACAATTAAAACGTCGCAAGAACATTCATCCGGTTGCAGAAATAACGGCCGTATTGGAGAGACCGACGCCCGTCCCCCCAGATCCATCCAGCCTTGCCCTTTGGAGAAACCTCCAATCACCCCATAACTATTTCCTCCATGTGCCCCAACTGCCCTCTGGCTAATGTACAGGTAGTCCCCGACTTACGACGACAACGCAACCCAAGATTTCTGTGCTGAAGCGAGGCATCTGTTAACTGAGCCTGGCTCCATTTTACGGCCTTTCCTGACACAGTTTACTAAGTGAATCATTGCAGTGGTTAAGTTAGTAACCCCGTTGTTAAGTGAATCGGGCTTCCCCCGCCCCACTGGCTTTGCAAAAGGGGACCACGTGACCGTCGTAAATATGAACCCGTTGCCAAGCATCTGAATTTTGATCAGGGGAATTCTGTAGTGGTCGTAACTGTGAAAAACGGCCGTACGTCGCGTTTTTCAGGGCCGCTGCAACTAGGAACGGTCACTAAACGAACTGTTGTAAGTCGAGGACTACCTGTACAGTGTTTTGTTTTGTTTTTTTTAAAAAAAAAACACCCCCAAAGAGCCACAATTAAAGCTTTCCTGCAGTGCTGCAGTTGTTAATCAGAATGATCCCTTTTTAGACAATTAGTGGATCTAGATTCGAAACAACAATCTAACCACAATGCCTTCTGTGTGAGTGAGCCACTAAACGAATTTATGGTGAACTAAGAACAGAATCAACAGAACGGTTGGTGATGCAGAGCTAACTAAACACTTAAGTTTTGTCTGATTAAAATGCATGCAAAGGTGTCCAAAAGGGTGGACACAGGTGGGGCTGGACAAAATCTTGCTGATGTGTCATTCTGTTTTCTCAGCTACTTGCGATCTGACTGACAGTGGCATTGAGGGGTGGGTGGGGGGCTTCCCCAGAGGGTCTCCCTTGGTGCCCAGAGCAAAGCTGCCAGTGGAGGGGGGGGGAAACAGGAGGGTCTCACTCGCTTGATCCTGCAGATCCTGACAGCAGCCAGAATACGCCATGCGCAAAAATGGAAGGACGCTTTGATTCCCACAACAACGGACGGATGGCTGCAAAAATGGATGGGAGCGAGCAGAGACGGGCGAATTGACTGCTTTGATTAAAGAAAAAAAAACCCCACACTTAATTTGTTTCCCCTTGGAAACCATTTCTGGACTTTGTGCTTGAGGTGGCAAAAAATAATAATGAAACTTTGATTTTGGGTTGGGCCGATTGGTTGGTGGTTATGGAAACGGCTAGTAGATGCTATTCTATAAAAAAGAAATAAAAAGTTGAGGTTTCCTGTTATTATCTTATTCTATGGGGCTAAAAAGTTGGAAAAGGCTTTCCTATCTCTTTTCCCCTTTACGTTTTTTTCCCTCTTCCCCCTTTCCTCTCCTGTTTTGCCCTTATCTTCGTTTTTTCTTTGCATTTCTGCATTTTAGATTTTGGTGAACTAACAAAACTACGGCCCCACGGGTGCTTTTTCAGGAGGCAACTGGATCTGCTTGTTTTTCTTTGATAAATGATAACTATGTTCACAGTTAATAAGACCATAAAACAAGCTACTGCGTAGCCCAGGGGTCTTCAGACCTGACCCTTTGATGACTTGTGGACTTCAACTCCCAGAATTCCTCAGCCAGGCATTGCCTGGCTGAGGAATCCTGGGAGTTGAAGTCCACAAGTCATCAAAGGGTGAAGTATGAAGACCCCTGCTTGTGGACTTCAACTCCCAGAATTCCTCAGCCAGAGGAATCCTGGGAGTTGAAGTCCACAAGTCATCAAAGGGCCAAGTATGAAGACCCCTGCTTGTGGACTTCAACTCCCAGAATTCCTCAGCCAGGCATGCTGGCTGAGGAATCCTGGGAGTTGAAGTCCACAAGTCATCAAAGGGTGAAATATGAAGACCCCTGGCCTAGCCTAACTTGAATTCACGCCGACAGAGGTCCCCGGTTGTACTCGCCAGTTGTAATAAGCGCCAAACCGTTTGGACCAACCTGGCTTCGTTTTTACTCACTTCGTTCTTGCTGAAGTGATCCAAGATGGAGGGCAGGAGAGGCAGAATCAGGGTGAAGGCCAGGAGGTCGAGAAGCAGCGAGAGAAACACCACGAAGATGACACGGGAGGAATTTTCCTCTGCCCTCCGGGCACCTTGCTCCTCTCGTGACATCCTCGGGAGGAATCCCTTCGTCAACTAGGGTCTTCAAAACATCCCTCCGGCTGGGGAATTCTGGGAGTTGTAGTCCTCGGGTCTTACAGTCTCCACGATTGGACGCTCCTGCAATACATGGAGGGACACACCACGGGTGTGTGGATTTATTCCCCAGAGCACACAAGGACCACAAGTTGGGAACAGAGTGGGAACCCAAGCTGGAACGCGCAGGGATTTCCCCTGCTAAGCTTTTACGGGTCGTCCTCTACTTACGACAGGCCAAACTTCCTGTTGCTAAGCGAAACACTTGTTCGGCAGGTTTTGCCCCGTTCTGCCAATCTTTCTCGCCACCGTTGTTAAGTTGTTAAGGTAGCAACACCGTTGTAATGCGAACCTGGCTTCCCCACAGACTTTGCGTAGTCGGAAGGTCGCAAAAGGGGATCGGTGATTTCCCCTCCCCCCCCATTTCCAGGACACGGCGACTGTCATAAATACAAGCCGGTTTGAACCGGCGGCCGAATTTTGATCACGTGACCGTAGCAATACCGCAATGGCAGTTAGTTTGGGGGGGGGAAAGTCGTATGTCCCTTTGTTTTCGTGGTGTTGTAACTTCGAACGTTCATAAAGTGGACTGCCGTAACTTGAGGACTACCTGTGTGTGTTTGTGTGTTTGTGTGTGTGTAAATAGCAGTGTTGTTATTTAGTCTATTTAAGCCAGTGGTTCTCAACCTTTTTAATGCCGCGACCCCAACCGGTCGTAAGTCGAGGACTAAACCGGTCATAAGTCGAGGACTAAACCGGTCGTAAGCCGAGGACTAAACCGGTCGTAAGTCGAGGACTACCCAACCGGTCGTAAATCAAGGACTTTCCCTGCCCGGGAGTGCCGCGCATGCGTGGTTCCACCCCCTGCGCCAGCCGAGGCGTAGCTGGCAAGCGGCAGAGACGGAGCAGGCCGACCACCAGCTGGCCCAGCCCAAGGGAGGTAAGGCACCCGCCGGAAAAGGGGAAAAAATGGCGGACAAAAAAAATGGTGGACAGCCTTGCTTGGCGACCCCCGTGAAATGGTCGATCGACCCCAAATGGGGTCCCGACCCACAGGTTGAGAACCACTGATTTAAGCAGACTTAAACAGCAGCCTTAGAGTTGGCGGAAGGAGGTTGCCCCAAAGGAACTCAAGACATGCTCCAGAACCCCAGAGGTGGAGCAACAATTTTAAATTGCCCGAAGGGGCCCCCAGGAAAGCTAAGGAAGCACCGCTGCCGGGCGCCTTCCCTGGATGACCCCCCCACATCCTGGGGGCCTCTGGCAGCCTGGAGACCCCCCCTGCTTCCCGAACTCAAGCCAGGCTGCACTGCCTCTCCCCCTCCCCTTGAAACCTGGGACTATCGGAGCAGATGGACGAAAAACAGGGCCGGGGGTCCTTCGTCCCTCCCCCGCGTTCCTCCTTCCCAGCCCTCTGGTCTTGCTCTCCCCACCCCAGTTCCCCACAAGGTACAGCAAATCTCCCCCTCCCACGGGACCCAGGCCCAGCCGAGAGCTGCCAGGAAGGATGGGAGACCACCAGAACAGAAGATGAGATGATGGACTCAGCTCCTCTCCCCCAGGACCCAGGCGGGGCCTAGAGCTGCCAGGAAGGATGGGAGACCACCAGGAAACCCCCGCCTGGAGGCCGGAGCAGGAGGGGAGACAGTGGACTCCTTCCCCCACCGTCCCCTCCGAGGTGCAGCTCCTCTCCCCCTCCCGGGGGACCCAGGCCAGGCCAAGAGCTGCCAGGAAGGATGGGAGACCACCAGTAAAGCCCCGCCTGGAGGCCGGAGCGGGAGGGGAGATGGTAGGCTCACCCCCTCCCAGTCCCCTCCGAGGTGCAGCTCCTCTTCCCCTCCCACGGGACCCAGGCCCAATGGAGAGCTGCCAGAAAGGATGGGAGACCACCAGGAAACCCCCGTCTGGAGACCAGAGCGGAAGAGGAGATGATGGACTCACCCACCCCCCAGTCCCCTCTGAAGTGCAGCTTCTCTCCCCCTCCCGTGGGACCGGGGCCCAGAGCTGCCAGGACGGATGGGAGACCACCAGGAAAGCCCCGCCTGCAGGCCAGAGCAGGAGGAGAGACGGTGGACTCCTCCCCCCCTCCGAGGTGCGGCTCCTCTCCCCCTCCCGCGGGACCCAGAGCTGCCAGGACGGATGGGAGACCACCAGGAAAGCCCCGCCTGCAGGCCAGAGCAGGAGGAGAGACGGTGGACTCCTCCCCCCCTCCGAGGTGCGGCTCCTCTCCCCCTCCCGCGGGACCCAGAGCTGCCAGGACGGATGGGAGACCACCAGGAAAGCCCCGCCTGCAGGCCGGAGCAGGAGGGGAGACGGCAGACCCCCCACCCACCCAGCCCCAGAGAGAGAGAGAGCGAGTGGGGGAGAGAGAGGGAGAGCTCACCTCCGCTCCCCGCAGCGCCCACGGACCAGCCTCCTCCGCGGGGCGCTGGCACCCCTTCCCCATCCCGGCCTCGCCCATCCGCCCGCCCGCCTGCCTCCTTCCCGAGGCCGGCAGCTCCTCCTCCTTCCGGCCGGGGCTGCCGGCTGCGCCCCGAGGAGAGACCGCAGCCTCGCCGCCTCCTCCTCCTCCCCGGCCGGGCTCCCCGCATCCCGGCCGGAGCCTCCCCGGGAAAGGAAGCCAGGCGAGCGGGGCTGACCTGGACGAGGCGCCGCAGGGCTCCGGAGCTGCTGCCCGCGGCGAGGAGGCGGCGGCGGAGCGAGCGATGCCCGGGCTCGGCTGGCGCGCGCTCCGCAGAGCCCGTCCACCCACCGGCCGACTTCCGCGGGGCGTTGGCCGCCGCCGCCGCCGCGGGCGGGTGACTCAAGGCGGCTCCCGCCGGATCCGAGCGCGCAGCAAAGCGGAGGCCGAACCCCTTCTGCCCGGCATCGGCTGGGCCAAAGGACGGATGCCTCGTCGGTGTTTTGAACCCAGGGCCGACTGGGTGGTCCTGGACTGACGGCCAGGATCGAGCCCGTCGTTAAGGGGGACACCCGTGTCTCTGGAGCCCGTTTTGCGACGCGTCTGGCCGTACGGGTGGGGTGGGGGGTCCTCGGCTTACCATCACAGTGGAGCCCTGGATGACCTCCAAGGTCCCTTCCTACTACTACTACTACTACTACTTTCTTCTTCTTCTTCTTCTTTCTTCTTCTTCCTTCTTCCTTCTTCTTCTTCTTCTTCCTCCTCCTCCTCCTCCTCCTCCTCTTCCTCTTCCTCTTCCTCTTCTTCTTCTTCTTCTTCTTCTTCTTCTTCTTCTTCCTCCTCCTCCTCCTCCTCCTCCTCCTCCTTCTTCTTCTTATTTGCTAAGTGACTTTTTGCCCCCCATTGTACGACCTTTCCTCTGCCACGGTTGTTAAGGGAAATCGCCATCGTTCTTCAATGGGTTCGAGGGTCGCAAAAGGTGGGTCACCAGGACATTGCGACCGTCATAAATATGAGTCGGCGTTTTAAGTGAATTCGGCTTTCCCTGTGCCCTAGACTCTAGGCAGCTTACCGAAAACTAAAAACACAATGTCCAAGAAATAAACATAATAAAAATAAATAAAATAATAATCCCCCACTCATACCAGCAATATAATAATAATAATAATAATAATAATAATAATAATAATAATAGGCAGATGGGGATGTTTGATCCTGCGACGATATCCGTAATACCATCAAACATCCACATCTGCCTATCCCAGGTCCTTGAGAAATGCCAAATCCAGTCTGAACATCTGGCTGACTGTGCGATGATCAATAATAAAGTTGGAAGGGACCTGGGAAGTCATCTAGTCCAACCCCCTGCTCAGGCAGGAAACCCTATACCATTTCAGACAAATGGTTGTCCAGTCTCTTCTTAATAAACTTCCAGTGTTGGAGCATCCACAGCTTCTGGAGGCAGGTGGTTCCACTGGTTAATTGTTCTGTCAGGAAGTTTCTCCTTAGTTCCAGGTTGCTTCTCTCCTTGATTAGTTTCCATCCGTTACTTCTTGTCCTGCCTTCAGGTGCTTTGGAGAACAGCTTGACTGCCTCTTCTTTGGGGCAGCCCCTGAGATACTGGAACGCTGCTATCATGTCCCCCCTCGTCCTTCTCTTCATTAAACTAGACAGACCCAATTCCAGCAGCCTTTCCTTGTATGTTTTGGCCTCCAGTCCCCTGATCATCTTTGTTGCTCTTCTCTGCACTCTTTCTGGAGTCTCAACATCTTTTTTACATCATGGTGACCAAAACTGGATGGGCTCAATCCCGCTCTGGGTTCCCCAGGTCCGCTGGCAGAACCTCGTCTTCAGGACCTTGTGAAAGAGTGACAGAGTGGGGGCCGGTCTAATTTCTGGAGGGATGACGGAGAAGGCCCTTCTTCTGATTTCCTGCCAGATGGTCCTCCTTAGGGGACAGGACCCGCAATATTCCTGGCTTCCCCGCTCTAGTGGGTCAGGTGGATGTGACCGGCAAGAGACCGTCCCTCAAGACAACCTGATCCCAAGCTATGAAGGGCTTTCAAGGTGACCCGAGGGAATGAAATTTGGGAAATCGTGGCTGCTTCAGTGCTACTGACTGCTGCTATGGTTACGCCATCTTTGTTTTCTACGTTCTGTGACAATTTCCCAGGCAGTCTTGCAATCCCTTGCCCTCCCTCCACGTGTCATGCTGTCCTTCTGAAGAAGCCCTGCAAGTTGCATCTCACTGCGGCCGGGATTCCTACATTAAGACCTGCGTCTCTCTGCAGTCAGCCAATCCTTAAGACTAGTGGCCCTCAGTGCCTCGAAGCTGCTGCAGCCTCTGGGCATGTGAAGAGTGGCCCAATAGCCAGGGGAAGCTTGGCTGGGTGGGCAAGTTCGCCCATTCGGGAAAAAAAGCCTCCACGGCATCAAATATGTTATACAATTTTATTTAGAAACAAGAATATAACAATATGTATTTTTTTTTAATCCAGAAGAAAGTGTACCCCTATTTAAAATGATCTCAAAATGCTCCAGGAAATTCTAATCGTTTAAACCTCCTTGCTTGCCTTCTGAGGTATCTGGGAATGTTTTAATGCTTTTTTCTCTTAAGTGCCTTCCAGTCTCCTTCCTGCTGAGCAAGGCTTTGGAAGAGTTGCTTCACTTTCCTTTTTCTTTCCGAATCCCTGCAAAAGCAAAAAACAAACTGCAATCGTAGTCGAAGACAAAAATGCAAACAAATCATTTTATGTCTTTCTCCCTCGCGTTATTAATGGCTAGAAAGTCTGAGGAGAGACAAGATGCCTCTCAGGTCTTATACAGAATCACAGATCTGCAGATTCTATTCTATTCTGTTCTATTCTATTATTATTCTATTCTATTCCATTTTCCAATATCTATTCTATTCTATTCTTCTATTTTATTCTATTCTATCCTATCCTAGTCTAATCTAGTCTATTCATTTTCTCTATTCTATTCTATTCTGTTATTCTATTCTATTCTATTCTATTCTATTCTAATATCCTCCAATATCTAATCTAATCTACTCTATTCTATTTTCTATTCTATTCTATTTTCTAGTCTATGTTCTATTCTATTTTCTATTTATATTCTTTTCTATTCTATTCTATCCTAATCTAGTCTATTCATTTTCTCTATTCTATTCTATTCTATTCTATTCTATTCTATTTATTCTATTCTAATATCCTCCAATCTCTAATCTAATCTATTCTATTTTCTATTCTATTCTCTATTCTATTTTCTATTCTATATTCTGTTCTATTTTCTTATATTCTATTCCATCCTAGTCTATTCATTTTCTCTATTCTATTCTATTCTATTCTCCAATATCTAATCTAATCTAATCTAATCTAATCTATTCTATTTTCTATTCTATTCTATATTCTATTCTATTCTATTTTCTATTTATATTATATTCTATTCTATTTTCTATTTATATTCTATTCTATTCTATTCTACTCTACCCCTACTTCTCTTCTCTTCTCTTCTCTAGCAACCATGAATCGGAAACCTCGTTGATCTCTGAGACGACAAAGCCTCTTCCTCTAAGCGGAGACAGCTTCCCGACTATCGGTATTTCCCTCCGTCTTTCTCATTTCAACCCAAACCCGGAGCTACCTTTCCACGACTTCCGTCAGCTGCATCTTTGCAAGGAACTGGTTGTCCCGGCGGATCTCGCGCACGGCCCCTTTGAGTTCACGCCGGTGCTTGTGAACGAGGCGCTGCCGATCCTGCTCTTGCTGACTGCTCCCTTGCTTCCTTCCAAATTCCAGTCTGGAATGAGAGAGAAAAAAACAACAAAAAAACACACGACTCGTCAAAATGCCGGAGCTTCCAGTTTCACTCCTATTTCAATCCCGGAGCTTAGGGGAAAATGTGCAAGAGGGGGAACCTTTCCAGAGTATATACGCTTTTTTTTTTTTAATTGAAAATTTTATAACATTTTACAATATAAATCCCTCCCTCAAACCCACCCTTCCGCCCCCCCCCTCACTTCCCAGAGCCAATCACAGGAATAATAATGAAATAATCAGACTCTAAATAATCTTAAACAACTATAAAAATATTAAATCTATAATCTCCTTTAACTCTATCTGAAAACTGTTAGAATAACAAATCTGTAACCTCCTTTAACTCTCTTTTCAACAGATATATAATTAATAAACACAATAATAATATCATATTAATAGTTAAAATTAAAAATAAGTACTCTAAAATTCAATTAAGATTCACTTAAGTGAATCAGAGTATATACGCTTTTTAATTGCTTTCCATCTCTGAAGTTTGCGCTCTTAAGTCAATTAGGGACCATTTCAGCCTCGGGATTTATTTATTTATTTATTTTTAATAAATTGGCCATAGTAAACCAGTAAACCAGACGTCAGATATCCAGCTGGGAAAAGTTATGTTGAATGGGAACACACTTTTCCCAGCTGGATATCTTGACGTCTGGTTTACACCTCCATATTGTGGCCAAGAAAACTCGGAAGCTGTGCGCGGCTTGTCCAGATCTGCTGGGACTCCTTTTCTTTTTTAAATTTAGTATTTTATTAATTTTCTAATTTTACATTGACGTATTTAAAAACGTCAACCTGGTGACTGGGTTAATCGATAGTTCAATAACAAACAAAGTTTTAGTGCAAATCTCAGGTTACAACATCGAATATTTCCTTCTCTTTTTCCCTTAGCATTTACTGTCAGGTTAGTACATTTCTAATTATAGCAACTCAGTAAGAACATCGTTATTACATTTATCAATAAATTTTTAGCTTATACATATCTTAATGACATTCAATCTTCATAAACAATCCATAACCCGTTACTGATTTTTTACTCAATTTTTAATTTCTTATCAATATTCCAATTTAACCTTTGATATTTATAGTTTTCAAACTTGGGTGCTGGGACTCCTTTTTTTGAGGACACGTAGTAAACATGGAGGGAGCCCAGAGCTTGATGATGCTCGGGGGCCGAGGGAAAGTAACTGGTCCCCAGTCACCGATCTGGCCTGTCCCCCAAGGAGACCTACTCCACGCTCTTTGGCCAAAAAGTGACCCCTGGTCCCTTACTAAGGAGTCCACCCATGAATTCGCTTTGTCCGAAGCTTAAAATACTCATCTCGTCACTCTACAACAGAAGTCTACCCCTTAAAAGCATTCTCTATCTGTGTACAGGTAGTCCTCAGTTTACGACGGCAATTGAGCCCGGCTGTTAAGTGAATCTGGCTTCCCCATTGACTTTGCTGGTGAGAAGGCCAGCGGGGATCACGTGACCCTCCCGGGGGACACTGCGACCGTCATAAATATGAGTCGGTTGCCGAGCGTCCGAATCTAAATCGCGTGACCAGGGGGATGCTGCAAACGGTCGTAAAGTGTGAAAAGCAGTTGTACGTCACTTTTTCCAGCGCCGTCGTAAGTTCAAACGGTCCCTAAGCGAACCGTCGTAAGCCGGGGACCACCTGTACTTTGTCCCTGGAACCTGTTTCTCGTCAACGGAACTTTTGTTTTCTAATGACGGAAGAATTGCGACGGGCAGTTTTCCAATTGGCGGCTCGACGGCTCAAATAAACGGCCAGTAGCGGCAGGAGACGCCGGATAACCGCCGAACCGTTTCCTCCTTGCTATAATCTGGATTTCAACAGCCCAAAACCAGGACATAAAAAGAACCATCAGAGGAACTGGGCTTTTTTTTTTGAATTTCAAAGCTTTTAAATTTTAAATTCCAATTTTAAACGTTCCGTATTCCAGGCCGGGGAACATGCGGTCGGGATCCGTTTTGAGATACTCACACTTTCACTATTTTTGGAGTGTACAGCTTCAAGGGGACGGGTTTCCTGTTGTCACAGACCAAGGGGCTGTAGGACTTGGGGGCATCGAGCTTGTCCAGAACGCTGCCGTGCAACTCCTAAACATCCCAAAAGATTGAAAATGAAAAACAAAATGAATGCAAAGCTTTCATGCCAAGTAAAAGGGTGGAGGGAAGGGGATTTTGACCTTGCCCGTCAGAAGGTCGCGCAACCTCGGGAGGTGCAACCGCCGTAAGCGGGAGTCAGTTGCCGAGCGTCTGAATTTTGACCGCGGGGGTGCTGCAACGGCCGTTAAGGGCGAAAGATGGTCGTTAAAGTCATTTTTTTTTTCACTGCCGTTGCAACTTGGAACGGTCACTCAACGGACTGTGGTTAAGTCGAGGCCTGCCTATGCTCTGGTGCTACTTTTCTGCGACGGTGGGACAGTAATTCTGGGCTATTTCTTTCTTTCTTTATATAGATTTTATTAGTTTTTAGAGGGTTAGGGATAAGGTAGGGTCGGGATTAGGGTTGGGGTTTTTCCAAATACCATTTTCAATATTTAGCGAACAGCATAATGTCTGGGTTCATGTGTTTAGTAGTAGTAGTAGTAGTAGTAGTAGTAGTAGTAGTAATAATAATAATAATAATAATAATAATAATAATAATAATAATAATAAAAAAGTTGGAAGGGAACTGGGAGGTCTTCAAGTCCAACCCCCTGCTCAGGCAGGAAACCCTATACCATTTTGGACAAATGGCTGTCCAGTCTCTTCTTAAAAACCTCCAGTGTTGGAGCATTCAATGCTTCTGGAGGCAGGTTGTTCCACTGGTTAATTGTTCTCACTGTCAGGAAGTTTCTCCTTAGTTCTAGGTTACTTCTCTCCTTCATCATCATCATCATCATCATCATCATCATCATAATAATAACAATAATAATAAAGTTGGAAGGGACCTTGGAGGTCATCTAGTCCAACCCCCTGCTCAGGCAGGAAACCCTATACCATTTCAGACAAATGGCTGTCCAGTCTCTTCTTAAAAACTTCCAGTGTTGGAGCACCCACAGCTTCTGGAGGCAGGTGGTTCCACTGGTTAATTGTTCTCACTGTCAGGAAGTTTCTCTTTAGTTCTAGGAAGTTTCTTAGTTCTTGTTTAACAAACAAGAATAGGTAATAGTTAATTATCACAAACAATGTGTTAATTCATCACTCACTAGCCTTCTTCTGGCTAATATATGTTCAAAATTACACATCACGTTCCTTTCTCTCTTGACTCGTCTTTCTAGCCACTGATGGAAACTATCCCATGTTCTAAAGCACACCGGGTCTTCTTTCTCTTTAATCTTTAAAGTAATTCTGGGCTGTTTCTGAGGACCCCCTTACTTGAAGCTGGGCAGGATACTTGGCTGCCTGGAGCGTGAGAGAGGAGAGCAACAGCCGGAGGGGCCCCACAATTTCACGGAAGGACGGAAGCTCCCCGTAGAGAACGGCACATCGTTTCACCAGATCCAAAGCCACAGCCACACAGGACAACCTGCAGAAGACAAGCGTGCGGCGTGAGCCGTTGAGAAAACCAGGAGATAGCAATAGCAACAGCCCTTAGACTTATATACCACTTCGCAGAGCTTCACAGCCCTCTCTAGGCGGTTTACAGAGTCTGGGTCCTCATTTTACCCACCTCGGAAGGATGGGAAGCTGAGCTGATTGTGAGCCGGTCAGGATCGAACCGCTGGCAGTGGGCAGAATCAGACAGCCATGCTGCATTCTAAGCCCTGCAACCCCACGATCCACGGGATGTCCTGCCTCTCTTGTTTTCTACTCGGTCACTACTAAGTCTGATTTGGTGTTTTTAATTGTAGCTTGTTAAGTTTTTATTATGTGTTTTCAACGTTCTGGGAGGGGAGCAGCTGTATAAATGGGATAAACAGACAGATGCAACATACCTCATATTATTCATTTCTACTCCTTTGCATGTACGTAACATGGGGAGTGAGATATTTGGTCCTTGCCACATTTTTTTCCTTGATTTTTCACACACAAGCAAGTTGGAATGTTTTCCTAGTGACACAAAAGGAGGCAGCAGAGAGTAACCTGGAGGAGAGAAACATACAGGAATGTTAGTTTTCCACTCAAAATAAATCACATGCACATAGGCAGGCATGCTGGCTGTTTTTAAAAACTATATGAACGGGTCAAACATTTTCCTGTACTCAGAAGTCTATGATTTGATAGGCTTGATCAACGAAAGATTCACAAGAAAGGAACAAGGAGTTCACAGATACAGCTGGTAAATAGAAGAGCAAAATATTTTTATATTAAGTATTTTATACTTTGGGACAATTCTTACAACCATCAAGATTATTTAGCTATATTTGTGATTTGCATGTTATTTTATAGATTATCTGGTAAAACTTATTCAGATTTCATGTATGTATGTATGTATGTATGTATGTATGTATGTATGTATGTATGTATGTATGTATATATATATATCTCCAAATTTCTTTTTTGCTGACAAAGAGTTAAAGAGTTGAATGGGAGACTAGAATAGCTATTTCGAGCTTATTTTGCTCCCATCAGCTTTTGCAAGGCAAAAGTGATTATAAATAGAACTGCAGTATAGCAGTCAAAAATACTAAGGTGCATTAATCAGAGCAGTCTGTCCGGCAAAAACTTTCTCTCTCTCTCTCTCTCTCTCTCTGTGTGTGTGTGTGTGTGTGTGTGTGTGTGTGAGATTTAACACAAAATATACTGCTCAAAAAAATAAAGGGAATGCAAACTCCTTCAGTTCCATGTTAAAATGTTCCCTTTATATTTTTGAGCAGTTTAGTTTGTCGCAGTAGTGTCTGCCTATATGATTAAAAAAAAACACGCTCCTAGACTGGGGCTAAAAGCAATAACTAGATTGCTTTGTAGACTGGATGTTCTGATAGACCGGCTTCACTGGAAAACATATATATTTATATACACACACAAACACATCACACACACAAATATATACATGTGTGGGTTTATATGTACACACACACACAGACTAAAAAAGTCAATATAAGAAAACTACTTTTAAGATCTCTCTAACTTAGCAATTAAAACCATTGCCAATTACTCAAATACAAAACCACAGGTAGTCCTTGACTTACAACTGTCCCTCCTCCTGCATATCCCTCTGCCTTCTAGCACTGATGATGTTGCCTAGTTTGGGTCATGAAACATCTACAAGAAAACCAGCAAGCCCAGAGAGCACCAAGGACCCCAGTCTTCTTCCTCCTCCTCCTCCCTCCTCTCTGCATATCCCTCTGCCTTCTACACCTGATGATGTTAGCTAATTGGGTAGTGAAATGTCTGCAAGAAAAAAAACCAAGCTCAGAGACCCCACAATGTTGGAGTGATCCTAGCGATCCTCCTCCTCCTCCCCCCCTCCCTTTTAAGCCCTGATGATGTTACCTAGCTGGATCATGAAACGTCTGCAAGAAAACAAGCAAACTCAGAGAGCACCAAGGACCCCACTCCTCCTCCTCCTCCTTCTTCTTCTTCTTCTTCTTCTTCTTCTTCTTCTTCTTCTTCTTCTTCTTCTTCTTCTTCTTCTTCTTCTTCTTCTTCTTCTTCTTCTTCTTCTTCTTCTTCTTCTTCTTTCTTCTTCCTCTTCTTCTTCTTCTTCTTCTTCTTTCTTCTTTCTTCTTCCTCTTCTTCTTTCTTCTTCCTCTTCTTCTTTCTCTCCCTCCTCCTCCTCCTCCTCCTCCTCCTCCTCCTCTTCCTCCTCTTCAGCCCTGTGGGTGTTGGTGGCGATGGTGGTGCCAGGAAAGGGTTAAAGGGGAGGAGAGAAAATGACTTCAGAACCCTACCTTGGGCTTCCTTGTTCGGTATCGCCATGTGAAGGACCCCCAGGAGGAAATTGACCATTTCTGGGACAAATCTTCGAGACACGGATGTACACTCCAGGAAGAGGCAGCAGACAAACAATCCTTTCGCGACGTCTTGTTCCTTTTGTACTGCGCACTAGGAAAAAACAGCCAGCATAGAAAACTCAACGAGGAAGTCTAACATCAAGAGCTTGAACCACACCAGACATTCCTGGGGGTTAAATCAGCCAAGGGCTTTCCACGGGGGAGGGCTGAACCCCCTTGCCCCTGCACCCCCTGTGGCACAGGCCTTGAGGCCAGCTGCGACCACCGGAGGCAGGGGGAGGAGACAACGAAGGTCAACTGTGGACATACGTAAATATGTCCACGATGTCAAGGGCTGAGTTTTGACCACTTGACCAGGTCTCTTAAGGCTGTTTGGCTTGGGCTTATCGTGGGTGATCCGTGCTGGGTTTTTATTCTTTGCCAATAGTGCTTTTTAAATTGTTTTCATGCATCGCGAGCCGCCCAAAGTTGTATTTGTGAGATTGGCAGCTATATAAATCCATTAATTAGTCAATAAATAATTTTTACTTGAAACTCAAGTCCTTTGGCCACCTAATGAGAAGGAAGGACTCACTGGAGAAAGGCCTAATGCTGGGAAAGATGGAGGGCAAGAGAAGAAGAAGGGGACGACAGAGAAGGAGGTGGCTGGATGGAGTCCCTGAAGCAGCAGACTCCAGAAGATGGTAGAGGACAGGAAGACCTGGAGGAACGTGGTCCATGGGGCTGCGATGGGTCGCAACTTAGAACTAAGGAGAAACTTCCTGACAGT